GGGGGGGGGGGGGCGGTGGCTCTGTGGCCGTGCAGGAGGACCCATGTTGGGCATTCATTGTTCGTCTGTGTCTATGGGAGGGGGCTACAGTCAATGCTCCCACTGTCTATGGAGTGTTAAAATGAAACAATTTTCTCTTTATTAAGTACCTCCTTGAGACTCCCTCTGCTGGACGCTCGGGGTGAGCATTGGGGAAGGAACTTGGCATTGAATTCAGAACTGTAGTAACCGGCTGCTTTCCCTTTCACAGGGGCTGGGCCTGTGGGTTGGGGTGTATTTTGTCAACTTGGTAGAAAGCCGTCTTGGGAACCTGTTCCTTTCATTCTAAACCCACGTGGAATGTAGGCCCGTCCCCTGAGGCTGAGCGTGGGCACTCCTGTTCTCCGTACTGTGTTCTTTCAGTGCTTCGCACCAGATAAGGGACTGCAGGTGTGCAAGGTGTTATGGTTTAAGGCTAATTAGGGAGCTCTGAGGTCTCAGGAGCACACTGTTTTTATTTGCAAGCCTTCCCTCCCGTCCCAGGTGATCTCCCTGGTCATCTCTTTCAACCCTGGGTTTCCAAACTCTGTCTGGTTTGTGTGCTCTCTCTCAGTTATTTCTACGCCCTGTGTGCTCTGATTCTGCAGTTTCTCTGTGCAGCTCTATAATTCTTTTCCTAACCTCCCTCCTCTCCCCTCCTGGACTAGTTCAGCATCACTCTGCGGGAGTCCAGGCCTGGATCTTATTGAGAGAGACCATTGCTCGTGCTCTAAAGCAGACAGGTGACCTCTAGAGTCAAGGATTGCATTGCTGGAACCACCATTCACTCACTGTGATGAGCGCTTCTGAGGCTCCAGTGACCTCCTTTCCCCTTTTTGGCGATACCTGCTGGACTCAGTGAACCTGACTTTCACGAGGACTCCCTGTGTGTGTCCTGAAGGAGCAGGGCTTTTCCTGTGGAATTCTCCAAGAAGTGTGATTTCTAATAGTTTTCGAGCTACTAAAAAAATCGAACCTGGGAGGTTCTTCTCAGGAGACATATAATGACAGGTGAGGCATTTCAGCTGTAATTCAGGAGTGTACCTGTTTTTTCAAATGGGGTGCAATTGCACCAGGCTGGGATATTGGGAGAAGGCCTGACTGCATGAGTGGGGCATTCCGAACGGCTGGATATTTAGAGAGAAATGCTGGCTTCCAAACAGGGTGTGTTTGCTAATGCGAATTACTGGGTGGCAGAGTGTAATCCGTCTTCCACAATTTGCTTCTAAGGATAGGTTTATAAATAGCACATTCGTTTTCAGTGGCTTGGTGCTGATTAAGTTCAGCTTAAAAAAGGTTTATTTTCTTTAGAAGGTTAAACATTTGCCTCGCAATTGTTGGTTACTCCATCAGCTTGCCTAGCAAGGCTTTTTTTCCGATATGTAGTGCAAAGGCCGACCACAAAGGTCTGTGCTGCCACAGGTTCTGAAGTAGAGGGCCCCAAATTCAAAGTTAGTTATGTTCTGCTGGACCTGAGGTGCGCCACGTTGATTACTTACTCACACAGACTTCCCGCAAATGCTGAAAGCCGTCATCAGATGGGCCTGAGCACACCTACCAAGAAATGAGTTCTGAATCACCTTCCATTAAAATAATTTAGAACATGTGATGACACATGTTCTCAAATATCTTTTCTTGTGTTTGTGTTTTATGTTTTTAAAGTGAGTAAGTATAAATATTGTTTTCATTCTCGCCGCATCTGAGTGGTGAATCAAGGCTCATTCGTGTTGGCCTCAGTTCTGGGCAGTGGGGCACAAGACTCGAATTCAAGGATCCAGCCCTGTGGCTTCAGGCACTTCTCACAGTCAGAAAGGAGTGGATGTGAAGTGCCCGGCTGTAGTGGGCATTTTCCCTGTGCGTGTTACATCTTCTATCCTTTGAGCTGCTTACAGGCATGGTGGCTCCAGGGAAAGAAGAACCCACAGTTTAGAAAACCAATAATAGCAACATTTCAATTATTAATCTCCTGCCATTCCTCTTCCAGTTTGAGCACCAGCCACAATAAGCCCCCTCTGGCCACAGAAGAAAGAGCCCCTTTTGACCCCCTCTGTGACCTTTCCAGATCCCCGCTTCCCG